GCTGGTCTCAAAATCCTGACCTCAGTGATCCCCGCCGTCGGCCTCCCAAAGTGCTGGGATGACAGGCGTGTAGCCATTGCCCCTGGCCCGACGAGATGCAATCTTTGGAAGAGAACCGGTTTGGACAGCACGAACCGCAGGATGGCCAGGTGGTTCTCCCCCAGGCCGGACAGACGCATTTGACTAGATGCTACACGGCCAGCGAGTGCTCACGCTGTCTCTCAGCACTTTCCTGTAATCCCAGCTACTCGGGAGGCTGAAGCAGGAGAATCACTTGAACCCTGGAGGCGGAGGTCGCAGTGAGCCGAGATTGCGCCGCTGCACTCCAGCCTGGAAACAAGAGTGAAAGAAAAAAAAGAAAGAAAGAAATACATTAGTTTGGTCCATAAAAGGGGGAACATCTCAAAATGGGGGCTTCCAGGTTATAAATGAATTTAAATATTTTCTGGTGACAATTGGTTGAGTTCGTAGCTCCTCCTCCTCCTCTTCCTTCTACTTCTCCTCCTCCTCCTCCTTCTTCTCTTCTTTCTTCTTCTTCTCCTTCCCCTTCTTTCTTCTTCTTCCTCCTCCTCCTCCTCTTCCTTCTACTTCTCCCCCTCCTCCTCCTCCTTCTTCTCTTCTTTCTTCTTCTTCTCCTTCCCCTTCTTTCTTCTTCTTCTTCCTCCTTCTCCTCCTCCTTTTCCTTCTCCTCCTCCTCCTCCTGCTCCTTCTCTTCCTGCTCCTTCTCCTCCTCCTTTTCCTCCTTCTCCTTCTCCTCCTCCTCCTCCTGCTCCTTCTCCTCTTTCTCCTCCTCCTGCTCCTTCTCCTCCTGCTCCTTCTCCTCCTCCGTTTCCTCCTCCTCCTTCTCCTCCTCCTTCTCCTCCTGCTCCTTCTCCTCCTGCTCCTTCTCCTCCTCCTCCTTCTCCTCCTGCTCCTCCTTCTCCTCCTCCTCCTTCTCCTCCTCCTTCTCCTCCTGCTCCGTCTCCTCCTGCTCCTTCTCCTCCTCCTCCTCCTGCTCCTTCTCCTTCTTCTCCTCCTTCTCCTCCTCCTCCTGCTCCTTCTCCTCCTGCTCCTTCTCCTCCTCCTCCTTCTCCTCCTGCTCCTTCTCCTCCTACTCCTCCTCCTTCTTCTTCCTCTTATTCTTCTTCTTCTTCCTTTTTCTGCATAAAGAAGTATCAAGAGTAGTTTCACTGCCCTAAAAATCCTCTGAGGTCCATGTATTCATCCCTCCCTCTCCCCAACGCCTACCAACTCCTGATCTTTTTACTATTTCCATGATTTTGTCTTTTCCACAGCGTCCAAGTGTCAGCATGACTCAGTCTGCAGCCATCTCAACGTGGCTTCTCTCACTTAGTCATAAGTATTTAAAATTCATTCATGTCATTTTATGTACTCGCTCTTTTTTTCTTCCTCTTTTTTTTCTTTTTTTTTTTTTCACTTGCCTTTTATAGCTGTTGCAAAAGTTAAGATTTTTTAAAAAGTATAAAAGAGCAGGGCCGGGTGCGGTGGCTCACGCCTGTCATCCCAGCACTTTGGAAGGCCGAGGCAGGTGGATCATGAGGTCAGGAGATCGAGACCATCCTGGCTAACACGGTGAAACCCCATCTCTACTAAAAATACAAAAAAAAATTGGCCGGGCGCGGTGGCGGGCACATGTAGTCCCAGCTACTCGGGAGGCTGAGGCAGGAGAATGGCGTGAACCCGGGAGGTGGAGGCTGCAGTGAGCCGAGATCCGGACACTGCACTCCAGCCTGGGCGACAGAGCGAGACTCCGTCTCAAAAAAAAAAAAAAGAAAGTACAAAAGAGCAAAACAAGAAAAAAAGAGTTATCAAAATGAAAACCTGAGCCATCCTTTCTTGTTTTGTTCCCCCAAATCCACTAATTATTAACAGAAAGTAAAAGCTATGAGAAATGAATAAAAGTCACTGCAATTTCCTTGAAGAGTGTCAGAACCTGCCTTTAGTGTCAGCCGTGGGTTCCCTCGTGAAGGTCAGCTGAGCCATGACCCACGAAACATGGAAACTTGACACTAGATTGACCCTCTTGAGACGCCAAAGATGTCCACGTCCTAATCCCATGTGGGAGACAGAATAACGGCCCCAAAGATGTCCACGTCCTAATCCCATGTGGGAGACAGAATAATGGCCCCAAAGATGTCCACATCCTAATCCCCATGTGGGAGACAGAATGACAGCCCCAAAGATGTCCTCGTCCTAATCCCATGTGGGAGTCAGAATAATGACCCCAAAGATGTCCACGTCCTAATCCCATGTGGGAGACAGAATGACAGCCCCAAAGATGTCCATGTCCTAATTCCCATGTCTTAGACAGAATAGTGGCCCCAAAGATGTCCATGTCCTAATCCCATATGAGAGACAGAATAATGGCCCCAAAGATGTCCACATCCTAATCCCCATGTGGGAGACAGAATAATGGCCCCAAAGATGTCCTCGTCCTAATCCCATGTGGGAGTCAGAATAATGGCCCCAAAGATGTCCACGTCCTAATCCCATGTGGGAGACAGAATTATGGCCCCAAAGATGTCCACGTCCTAATCCCCATGTGAGAGACAGAATAATGGCCCCAAAGATGTCCACGTCCTAATCCCATGTGGGAGACAGAATTATGGCCATGCAAACCTTCCACAGCTGGCCACGACCCCCCATTTGACCAGGTCAGCAGCTGACCACCATCCTGGTTTTGTTTCCCCAGCTCACCTCCCTGGGGTCCCCTGCCAGGAATGTCCTGGGAGAGCCACCCTTCTCACTGTGTGACGCCTTCTGTCCTGCAGCTCTTCCCTTCTCTCCGGCCAGCAGCATGTTTCTCCTGGTCACAAGCCTTGTACTGTGTGAGTTGCTGCAGCCAGCATTCCTCCTGATCCTGGAGAAACCGGGTAAGTACGGAAACCTGTGGCTGAACCTTCACTGTGGCCCTCGTTTAGACGTCTCGCGTCTGGAGACCTACGTGGATACCTGCGCCCATTTGCATTTCATCTCTAATGTTTATGAGGGACCCAGTAAGCACCAGCCGACCCACAGAAGCTCAGAACTCCTCTTGTCCTCACCTCCTTTTCTGCTGTTAATGTCCATCCACCCATTCTACAGATGAGAAAACAGAGGCTCAGAGACCTCCACGGTGTAACCCAAAGACCATCCAAGTAGTGATGGGGCCAAGATGAGGACCCAGGTCTCCTCGGGGCCAAAGTGTTTCTTCCTTCCTTCCTTCGTTCTTTGCTTCCTTCCTTTTTCCTTCCTCCCTTCTTCCCTCTCTTGCTTCCTTCTCTTCCTCCTACCCTCCCTCCTTCCATCCTCCCTTCTCTCCTTCCTTCCATCCTTCTCTCCCTCCTGATTCAATTCTTTTCTTTCTTTCTTTCTTTTTTCTTTCTCTTTCCTTCCTTCCCTCCTTCCCTCTCTCTCTTTCTTCCTTCCATTGTTTCTTTGCTTCCTTCTTTCCTTCCTTCTTTCTTTCCTTCCTTCCTTCTTTCCTTCCTTCCCTCCCTCCCTCCTTCCCTCTCTCTCTTTCTTCCTTCCATTGTTTCTTTCCTTCCTTCCTTCTCTCCCTCCCTTCTTTCTCTCTCTTTCTTTCTTTCTTTCCCTTTCTTTCTTTCTTTCTCTTTCTTTCTTTCTCTCTTTCCTTCTTTCTTTCCTTCCTTCTTTCCTTCCTTCCTTCCCTCCCTCCCTTCTTTCTCTCTCTTTCTTTCTTTCCCTCCCTTCCTTCCTTCCTTCCTTTCTTTCTTTCTTTCTTTCTTTCTTTCTTTCTTTCTTTCTTTCTTTCTTTCTCTTTCTTTCTCTCCTTCTTTCTTTCTCTCTTCCTTTCTTTCTTTCTTTCTCTTTCTTTTCAGAGTCTCGCTCTTGTTGCCCAGGCTGGAGTGCAGTGGCTCAATCTCAGTTCACTGCGAATTCACCCTCCTGGGTTCGAGCGATTCTCCTGCCTCAGCCTCCCGAGTAGCTGGGATTACAGACATGTGCCACCACGCCCAGCTAATTTTTTTTGTATTTTTAGGAGAGATGGGGTTTTGTCATGTTGACCAGGCTGGTCTCAAATTCCTGGCCTTATGTGATCCACCTGCCTCGGCCTCCCAAAGTGCTGGGATTACAGGCGTGAGCCCCCACACCCGGCCTCTTGTTTTTTGACTTTTTAATAATAGCCATTGTGACTGGTGTGGAATGATATCTCGTTGTGGTTTTGATTTGCATTTCAGGGAGGGACCCTCTGGACTGAGGGTGTCAGGGTCTGCTTCAGGAAAATATTTGCAGATATTTTGTGACCTGGTTCAGGGAAGACAGACATAGACAGCTTTCTGTGTCTGCAATTTTCTCAAATTCCTTCAGTTTTATTTTAAACTGCCAAGGTTCCATAATTTGGGAACCGTGTTCTGAGCCTCATCACCTTGGATAAAAAGCCTTTGCCTGTTCTCGTTCAGGTGGTTTTCTTTCTCTCTCTCTCTCTTTTTTTTTTTTTTTGCTTTTTTTTGTTTTTGTTTGTTTGTTTGTTTGTTTGTTTGTTTGTTTTCTTGAGACAAGGTCTCGCTCTGTCACCCAGTCTGGAGTGCAGTGGCGCGATTTCGGCTGGCTGCAGCCTCAACTTTCTGGGATCAAGAGAACCTGCCCCTTCGGCCTCCCAGGTAGCTGGGACTGCAGACATGCACCACCACGCCAAGCTAATTTAATATTTTATTTTTATTTTTATTTTGTAGAGATGGAGTCTTGCTATGTTGCGAAGACTGGTTTTTTATTTTATTATTATTATTATTATTTGAGATGGAGTCTTGCTCTGTCTCCCAGGCTGGAGTGCAATAGTGCGATCTCGGCTCACTGCAAGCTCCGCCTCCCAGGTTCACGTCATTCTCCTGCCTCAGCCTCCCGAGCAGGTGGGACTACAGGCACCTGCTACCACACCTGGCTAATTTTTTTGTATTTTTAGTAGAGACGGGGGTTTCACTATGTCGGCCAGGCTGGTCTCGAACTCCTGACCTCAGGTGATCCGCCCCCCCCTCGGCCTCCCAAAGGGCTAGGATTGCGGGTGTGCACCACCACACCTGCCTAATTTAAATTTGTAAAAAACTGTGTTTTTTTCAGAGATGCAGTCTTGCTGTGTTGCCCAGGCTGATCTCAGTCTACTGGGCTCAAGTCAGTTTTTTGCCTCAGCCTCCCAAAATGCTGGGATTGGAGGCGTGAGCCATCGCCCCCACTGTTCAGGTGGTTTTTGAGTATTTCTGCAGAGTAGACATCTCCTTTTTTCAGAAACAGCAAAGGGGGCTGAGAAAAGGAGGGAAGATGGACAAGGGAGGAACAGATTCCTGAGGATGTGGGATGTCCTGGGGCCATGTGGGTGACAAAGGAAAGTCAGCAGGTTCCAGCCGTGAACTTCACCTCCTAGAGCCAGGTGGGAAGAGAAAAAACAGGAAATGCCAGGTGCGGTGGCTCACGCCTGTAATCCCGGAATCTTGGGAGGCCGAGGCGGGTGGATCACCTGAGGTCGGGAGTTCGAGACCAGCCTGACCAACATGGTGAAACCCCCGTCTCTACCAAAAATACAAAAATTAGCCAGGCGTGGTGGTTGGTGCTCGGGAGGCTGAGGCAGGAGAATGGCGTAAACCCGGGAGGCGGGGCTTGCAGTGAGCTGAGATCCGGCCACTGCACCCCAGCCTGGGTGATAGAGCGAGACTCCGTCTCAAAAAAAAAAAAAAGAAAAGAAAAGAAAAAAAAAGGAAAGAGAGAGAGAGAGGAGAGAGAGAGACTGAGGAGAGAGAGAGGGAGAGAAGAGAAAGAAAGAAAAGAAAGAGAGAAAGAAAAGAAAGAAAGGAGGGAGGGAGGGAGGGAGGGAGGGAGGGAGGGACTGAAGGAAGGAAGGAAGGGAGGGAGGGAGGGAGGGACGGAAAAGAAAAGGAAACAGGAAAAGAGGAAATTCTGAATTCAGGGCCCACTCCTTGTAGCCTCTAGCCTCAATGTGAGGTTCGACGCCAGGACGATGAATTTAACCTGGGACTGCCAAGAAAACACAACCTTCAGCAGGTGTTTCCTAACTGACAAGAAGGGCAGAATCGTGGAACCCAGGGTGAGACCAATTTCCCATGCTTAACCCTTGTCCTTTACACAGCCCTTTCTGACTTAAAAGCAACAGGACCGGCTGGGTGCGGTGGCTCACGCCTGTCACCCCAGCACTTTGGGAGGCCGAGGCGGGCGGATCACCTGAGGTCGGGAGCTGGAGACCAGCCTGACCAACATGGTGAAACCCTGTCTCTACTACAAATACAAAATTAGCCGGGCGTGGTGGTGCGCACCTGTCATCCCAGCTACTCCGGAGGCTGAGGCAGGAGAATCGCTTGAACCCGGGAGGCGGAGGTTGTGGTGAGCCAAGATGGTGCCACGGCACTGCAGCCTGGGCGACAAGAGCGAAACTCATTATGTTTCCATCTCGAAACATAATGATCATAATAAATTAAATTAAATTAAAGCGAGAGGGCCACGGACACAGACAACACAAGTGCGGTATTTGGAGACACGTGGGAGCCATAATCTCAAGTAGGCTGGGAAGGTCCTGTTAGTTCACGTCCACAGTGTGTATCACAGGCTGATTCTCTGGGGTGAGCGTGTTCCACCGTATTTTAGCCCAGGAAATCCTGGTAAGTACAGTTGGAGGTGAGTCTGGGTCTGTGGTCGAAGAAGGTTGGAGAAAAGTAAACTGTCTGGGGATTTCGTCAGTGTTTCACCGTCGTGGCCTCCCAAGGGATTAAAGTCAGGGCTTTTGAAACACAAGAGACAGAGACAGAAGAGCAGGGAGAGGGGAGGGAAGGAGGGAGAAACACAGAGACAGAGAATAGAGAGGAAGGAAAGGAACAGAGAAATATAAACGATCGATAGGTAGGTGATAGATAATTTTTTGACTAGTAGATAGGTGATAATACATGATCGGTAGATTTGATAATTCTATACATATTAGACGGATGGATGGTTGATCTTCCTATGTTACCCCAGATGACATATATATATAGATACATATATAGATATATATAGATACATATATAGATATATAGATATATATAGAAATAT